CTATATTAATAACATATAAGACATTTTTATTATTAATTTATATAATATTAATAATAACTTTATAGTTAAAGTAAGTGTTATTTTTAATTATAAACTTAAATCTTTATAGAGCCTAGTTATATAATTAGTAAAAGTAGCAAAATTTCTTAATCTCTTCTAGCACTATAGTATTAATGTTATAGCTAGCGCTAGTTAGCATCTTCTAGAGTCTTTTTATATAAAGGTGTCTAAATTAGCAGTAGAAGCAGTAGAGTTTTAATTTAGTAAAAAAAAACATAAATTTTTTCTTACTAATATTAAAAAAAAGGTGTCTTTATTTTTATATAATAAGTATAGTAGTTTTATCTTTATGTATAATAACATTTAAAACATTATTAAAGTATGCACCTATTTAGTCTGCGTCTGCTAGAGACAGTAGGAACAGTGTTAAAGTGTCTAAGATGTAATATATTATGTTACTAACTAAGTTAGTAATTTATATAGTACTAATTAATTTTATTAATTCTTATTTTTTAAAGCTAATACTTTTTTTTTTAGTATTTAGTTTACTTTTATATAAGAGAATTCTTATAGGTATGCTTTAAGTTATAACTTCTTTATAGTAAAAATTTTTACTGCGCTAGTATTTTATAGTTTACCTTAGTATACTATATAGTATTAATTTTTAAGGATAAACTGTTCTGTGTATTCTTTAAGTTCTAGGCTGTAAATGTCTTCTATAGTTGCGCAGTAAAGAAATGCAGTATTAGTAAAGTAGTTAATAATCTTTTTACTTTTTTTTTTATCTAAGTTATTATTATTATGCAACTTTTTTTTTTTTTACTTTAGTTTACTTTTAAACTTTTAAATATACACATTTACTTTCTTACATATTAGTGTCTTATTATAGAATTTTTTATATAAAAAGATATATTAGTGTTTTATATAAAATTAATTTATATAAAATTAATTTATTAACTAACATTTTTTTTTATAACAGATAAAGCATTACTTTAATTATATAAAGGACTATAGTCTAAATAATCCTTTATATCTTCTTAAGCTTTTTTTATATTATTAATAGCTATGTGTACATAGTAAGCTATATTACTTATTAGTATAGTACATGTTCTAGAATTTATTTATAAATGCATTATTCTATTAATTAATTATAACCTAAAGTGCTAAATAAAGGTTACTATATAGTGCCTTACATATAAGCTTAATTAAGAATATTACTTATTTAAGTTTAAGTTGCCTTTAGCATACTTATATAATAGTAGTGTAAAGTAGTATCTTGCTTTAGAATTATAGACTAAAAGCTTTTTATATAAAAGTAAGTTTATTAATTATAGCTTTAAAAGCTTTATATAAAGTTTTATAAAGTTTTTTTACTTACTTTATATAAAGCTTATTATTGTCTAATCTATCTAATACTAGTTATAGTTTATATTAGTATTAAAGTAATTACTAAGCTACTTATATAGTAACTTTTATAATTATTTTAGACTAATATTATAAAAGTAGAACATATGTGCGCGCCTTTTAAAAATATTAAAAAAAATGCTTATATATAATGCTTTAAAAATAGTAAGGTGTTCGTAAAGCTTAATAAATACTATAGCCTTATTAGCTAGAATATTATATAGTTACTTTATATAGTTATTTTTCTTTTTTTATGCCTTTTAGAATTATATAACCTTCTTAGGCGCAAGGTTCTCTGCTATAATATCTTATATAAGTAAAAGTTAGTATAGATTATACAGTAATTAAATTATATATAGTAGGTACAAGCTTTAGAGAATCTTATATAGAGCTGTAGCTACAGGAATATGTAGCTGCCTAATTATGCTCTTATATAGTAAGCTATTATAAAGTAGTTATACTAATTATAGAGAAAGTATTAAGTCTATAAGTAATTTATATAAAGACATTTTTTATTACATTAAAACTAGCAATAGTAGTAATAGTTTTATATAATACTTTAGTAAAATAGTAAACATGTGTTTTTTTTTTATAAGTTTATATAGTATAGTAGCCTTTATTATGTCTTTTTTAAAGCTAATACTCTTATTCTATAGAGTAGTAATTAGTTTTTATAAAAATAGTTAGCTAAGATTTCTAAAGTATATAAGCTTTTACTTTATAAAGTTGTTCTAAAAGTTCTTAAGTGTACATATATTTATTATGCTTAACATGTAGAGTTTTATAATTAAGTTAGCTATATATAAATTAAGCTTCTTTTTAAGTATATTATTTAATAGTTTAATTTTATTTACTTAATTTTTAATATTTATCTGCTTTACTAAGGTCTTTACTAAAATGCTTATAAAAAGTATGTATTAGTTATATATTAATACATTATGCTAGCTAGTTATAGATAAAGCTAGTGTTACTTATTACTTTATAGTAGTTAGTTATACATTGTTGCGCGCTGTTTTACTTCTTATTATACACTACCTCTAAATAGCCTTATGTAAAAAAATAAAATAGACCTTTTAGTGTTAAATAAGCACTACTATTTATATAATACTTCTAAATAGTATTATATAGACAGGTTTCTTACTTTTACTTAGGTAACTAAATAAAAATTTATAGCTACTTATATATAAATTAGACTCTATCTTTACTCTTACTAATTTATAGTTAAAGTAGTAAAAAAAAGAATTCTTCTTATACATAAACTTTTAAATAAAAAAGTATAAGAAAAGCTTTCTTTCTTATAGTATTTAAACTACTAATTAGTGTTAAATAAACTCTCTGCTAGCTAGCACTTAGTGTTAGCAAATGCGTACAAGATAGAGAGGTTTGCACAGTGTAAACATTGCACAGAGGTGTTAGGTAACTAGTGTTAATTACTTCTTATTTTTCCTTTATACAGAGGAAAAGGGGGATATCTAGATGTTTGCGCACAGAGGTTCGCGCACAAGCATCATGTGACATAGATACGTGATCCTGCTCGTGCGCGATCGCTTGTATCCAGGACGCGACGCTGCTGCTGCGTACAGACAATAAGTAAATAAATTTAGTAGTTTTATTAATAACTTATATAATTATGTTATAAAGTCTTTTAGTGCTAGGTTCTTATAATAGTAGTAGTCTTATAATAAAGTCTATAGTTATTATAGTCTATAGTTAACTTAGCGCAGTAATTAGTTAGAGTAATCTATAAGGTTTATGTTGTTAAGAGTTATTTTTATTATAAATGTTACATTCTTGTAGGACTTTAGTACATAGGTGTTTTAATTAGGGTACCTCTTAGAGTATAGCTTTTTTAATTTTCTTTTATAGTAATCTAATTCCTAAGTGTCTAAATATAAAAGCTTTATAATATTTTTTATTAAGTTTTTCTATTCTTATTTAACTATTATAAGAGAATATAGTAGTTTTTCTTAGTTTAGTCCTTTATAAACTAGGCCTTCTAGAGTTTTTTAAAAGATTATAAATTCTTTAAAAAAAATTTTATTCTTTTTAAAGTAATTAGTGTGTTAGCTTAGAGTGTCTACTTATTAGTTACTACTTTCTACTACATGTTTAATAATAAAGTTAAATTAGGCAAGTTCTATAGCCTATTATATATGCATTAGTAAAAGTTTTTTAGTAGTAAAGAAAGTAACAAGGTTTATGTAGTTAGTAAAGATTATAAATTAATAACTAAAACTTTAAAGTTTAACTTTCTAGTTCCTGCATGCATTAACTATAGCTTTTAATTTTTTGTTAGAGATAGTATACTTTTATTTTAATAGTGTAAATTTTGCTAAGTAGTAGGCTACTAGATGCTATTAACTATTTTCTTATTTTTAAGAAAGTGCTGCTCTCTCTACTCTTAAGAAAGCATTAGTGTGCACTTTTGTTTCTAACATAAAGTTATACATTTTAAGAACAGAGTAGCTTGTTATTATCTATTTTAACTTTTAAAAAGCTTTTTTTATTTCTATTATCTATTAGAATTTCTAAGTAGCCCTCTTCTTTAAGGTAGCGTTTGTAAGGGGCAGCGTAATTTTTAAGTAATCTTTAATTATTCTTTGTACGTAGCTAGTTGTAACGATCCTCATGAATTGTTCCATCTCAAGTCGCCCGGAACCTCCGGAAGGCCCTCGTATCGGCCCCGACCTCGACCTGGCCCCGACCCCTGCTGTTACCCCTATTCCCTCATGTATTTAGTCGCACCTCGCCCCCGTAGCTAGCTTAGTAGTTTTCTGATATCCTTTTGTACAAGGCCTATAGGTGTTAATGGCATTCCCAGGTTCAGAGTCCCCACGCACTCCCATATGCCTCTGAGTGGATTCCCACCGCATTCGGACCTATTGTCTTGCCTGCGCCGTTACAAAATGTATAAAAGAATACTCTATAAGAGTATGTTAACAGAATGTTAGCATAAGGTTACATTTAAGAAAGCTACAGCCTAGTAGCCTTAGCAGTAGTCTTTATAAAAAAAAGAAGAAAAAATTAGTGTCTATTAAGACTATTAAACTCTAAATAATAACATAATCTAAAACTAGGCTAGTTTATACTAATATAGCTAAGATTATACTTAGCGTGTAAAGAATTAGCTATATTAGCTATAACTACTATTTAAGGGGAAATTTTTTATATATATAGCTTAAGTATGTTTTAATAAGTACTTACTTTTATTATTACCTAGCTTTTATAAGTTAGCTATAGAATTAGCTTAAAAAAGTTATTTAGTATGTTAGTTATTTATTATATTTTAAAAAACTTTATATATAGCTATAGTATGTTACTTTAAAAGTGTTATGTTTTATTTAAAAGCTTAAAGTATAAGCTGTATCTAACATTCTTTTAGCGTGTCTAAGTAGTGTTGTTAGGAATGCATTAGTGTAGAAAGAGTAGTTTAGTAAGGTCTTAGCAAAAGTAAGCAACTTAAGTGTGTAAGCTACTTGCCTGTGGTGTACGTTATTAGGAATTCTATTAAGATTCTAATCTCCCATACAATTTTAGTAGGAGAAAAAAAGATCTAAGGAACGCCAAGAAATTTCCCGATTTTTGCACATAAGAGATTAGTGCAGCCACAAATTGGGGCCCGTTTTCCTTTCCGCCCCCTCATGATATACGAACTGGACACGAGAACTGGTTCTCATGGGAGGACTGGTGAGGGAACCGGCCCATCTTCAAAACCGAACGTGAGGGTTAGACGTCATGTGTAAACTCTGGACGATGGAGGCGGTCCTCATGCTCCTCACAGGACACAGTAACTACTTTCCTTGAGCGAATACGTCGTGAGATCTTCGGGACGATCCCCTCCGAGTTCGTGCTATGTTGGTCTTACACAAGAAAAGAGGATAGAGTCTGAAGTGCCTCGGTAAAGAGACCGCGCCTATGCGCTTGCATTACCCAAGAGTTGAGCCTGGTTCACAGGGTAAAATTGGTTTCGGAGATGAGATACTCCACGACTTCATTTCTGAACGGAGTGAAGCCAAACAAAATACTGCAATGCCTTTTGAATGTTTGATGTTGAAGCGAAGCAATTGAATGTGAAAAGAACTCCAGAGGGATGTAAAGCTATACCAATGACGTGCCAGTTGTTCGCCTCCCAAGGACCGTTCCAAATTCTCAAGTTCAATTCAGCAACCCTTACCTCCCTCTGAGAGATAATCATCAGTGGCGGCACTAATCAACCATAACCCCACTGATGAGAACATGGCCTGTTCCAAATGTGGTATAGCCCGACTCACTCGAGGCTGATGCCTGCGCCTGGCAAGCCACTGTGCTAATTTTACATCCTTTTCCCAACGTCAAACTTTCCACCTCTTGGCCATCCCACTTTTCAATATCCTGGGTTATGGTCCTTCACATTCCATTATAAAGTAGATTTCCCTCCTGGTCTCCTATTTCCTTGCTCCTTAATGCCTGAACCGATCTCAATATGCGCAGGTGCCCTCGGCACAGTCGCAAACGCAATTGATCTCTCGGTCAGAACCTACACGCTCATCGAGGGAATCAAATCCGCGCCGGAGAATATCAAGCGTCTAGCAGTCGAATTACGCAGTCTATACCATGTCCTTGGAATGCTCTCCCAGACCCTAGAGGCTCAAAGGATAAAGAATCGACCTGAAAATCTTCCTGTGCATATGATATCCAACACCAAAGAACTGCTCGAAAATTGCATTGAAGTTTTTCGTGAAGTGGAGACTATTGTTCAACCATTTGTCGAAGCTGACGGAAGTGTGTTGCGGTCATTTCGAACGGGGATTAAATGGGAGGTTGGCAGAAAAGCAAGCATTAACACCCTTCAGAAAAGTTTGAGTAACAACAAAGCAACGCTGGAATTAGCCATCTCTACTTTAAACTTGTATGTGCGGCTATTAGTCGTATCTATCGAAATTTCTAATCACCACGGGCAGTTTTAATTCTTCCCAAACAATCGATATGATTTCCGACCTTCAAAGGGACGTCCACCGTCTTCGTCGTCAAATATATCAGCCTACCCAACATCAAAGCCAGCCAGCAAGCATGAGTGCGCACGAGCGGACTCCGACTGCTCAGATTGATGCGCATAGTATTCCCATGCAACGCTTCCTAGCAAGGACTGCGAGCGTTGCTTCTCGTGTGTCTACCTCAACCCAGATGACAGAGCTTGACTCAATCTTCTCCGAGGATATATCGGAGACCACCGAAGTAACTATCCTTAGAGATGTTGACATGGCTAGCTCAGAGCGAGTGTCAGACCGTGGCCACTCCGAAGATGCCGATAAAGACTTATCAGTCTTAGAGCATGCTGAGGGTGACAATGCACAAGCTTCCAAGACCGAAGTCCCTGCCTCAGGCGCTCCAGAAAAGCGGTCTACGTGGAAAAAGATCCGCAAGCGGATGAAGAGAAATGATTCAAGAAACATATTGCTGCCACTTCCGGAAGCCGGGCCTAACGCGACACCTCACACCACCCCTAGCGTCGAATATCCTCGAGTGTCGGAGACCCTAGAAGGCGAGAGACTAGTGAAAAGTATAAGCACGCCCATAATGTCCTCCCATGAACTTCAGATGGAACGGGATTCTACCTCACTCCCACATCGCTCCAGAACAACACCCATAACAACACTCTCAGCTCTCCAATACCGAGATACACCGAATCCAGAGGCCTTTCCTAACAGTCCTTACCACTTACCCAATTTCAACTACATTGGAAAAGCACCAAATCCAGATGGAGATTCTGATGGCCTATGCTCAACTCCACCGCAACCGCCCACCCCGAAAACAATCATAAACTCACCCTCAGAGACTGCACAAGAACCTGACCCCTCCACCCCCTGCACAGCCTGCAAATCCCCGGCTTCCCGCTCCCAATCCATATCCCTCAAAGGCTCCAAATACCACCATACCTGCTTCCGCTGCCGTTCCTGCAACATTCTCCTCCAATCCGCTTCGCCTCCCCCCGAAGGACCCTTCCAACTAAAAGGGGATTTTCTCGTCTGCAACAGCTGCGCATTTACATGTCAGAAGTGTGACGAGCGGATTGAAGAACATGGGCCTAAAGACGCCCCCGCGTACTCTGGAATTTTTGGCCGTGGGCAGATGGTTGTGAGTACGCATTGCTCTGGGCTGTTTTTCTGTCACGCTTGTTTGATAAGTATTAAGAATTTGAGATATGTGAGGAATGGGAAGGGAGTATTTTGTTTAGGATGTGCGTAGTGTAATATGCTAAAAAAGATACCCAAGCATATCTTCCTAATAATTCATTGCTGTTGATAGTAAAGATGATTAATGTCTATAAACCCACGGGTGGGAGTTGAAGTATATTCAGAGAGGCAGTGGCCTTGCCGTAGGTAAGGCGCCCTCTTTTTTGGCTGGTGATCCGTCAGAAACCCTGCTGTCGAGAGGAGAGAGAAGAATGGGGGATCTTGATAGTTGCCAGCGATTCCGGACGAGGAACGGGCGAGTTTGCGGCGGGAGCGAGCAGACGCTGGGGTTAGAGGGGTAGTATTGACAGGGTGGTGGGTTCATAGGTATCGCCCACGCAGACGGTGTGCTTGCTAAACATATCCTTCAGCATCGTTGGGCTTGCGCGTGGGTTTAGGCTGTGGCAATCCACTCGCCCCATGTAGCTCGACGCTGGTCGTTGGTCAGAACTGGGTGCGCACCGAGTGGGTTTGTATGGGTTGAAGCATTAGAGTAGGAGTTCAGAATGAGGAGAGAATGACAGGGAACTGTTCTCCAGGGATGTATCTACTGAGAAGCCAGCAGCAGACAAAAAAAATATGATACATCTCTGAACGATCATTATAGAGCAAGAGAGAGAATAGGAAAGTAGTCTACAGTAATCTCCTGCAGGAATCCTTTGAAGATGCAGCTAAATATTGAATAACCTCCCTAAAAGCTCTAGCCCCATATCCGCTATCATCGTTAGACTGCGAATTTATCAACCTGAGTTGCAACTGCGTGTCTATACTCTATCTACGATTGTTCAAAGGGCAAGACTATGTCCCTGGTAGCTAACATCACATCAATTTCCTGCAAACAGCCGAAATCCCATCCTGCCGATACGATCAGTATGCCCAAGCTGAATCTTACTCAAAATAGCCAAAATACCGACCATACGCTGATCCAGGGTACACGGGTAATCAGTTGGGCGGAAATTCAAATAACGCGTAGAAAGGAGCTCAAGCAGTGATGTGTCCCGATTTTAGTGCACGATCGTGAAGGATCCATTTCTGTCCGGTATTCTAGCCAATGGCCGCTTTAGTGACCCTATCTGGAGTTCTCATTTTTGGTATCCTGACAAAGTCAGTTATATATCTGCGTCAAAATAGGTCAAGAACTTACCCTAAAGGACATGCCTTCCATTTGGCCGTGACACCAGCTTGGCTAACGAGGAAACGAATACAGATACTGTAGCGGCTTGTGTAGCCAGTGTGACAGTGATGGCGAGCCTATCACCGTCAGCAATGTGATTATAGGTGAGACAGTCGATGGTAAATCCAGCACATTGGCGATAAGATACACCGTATCTGGGGGAAGGTAAGGAGAAATTCGGGTGGCAGCAAGGCTTGAGTGCTAATTTCAGAGGACTGAACTGTGAGGTCGCTAGAGGTGCCGCGCGGGACAAGTGAGGAGAGCTGTTTTGAGTGAAGTCAAGATTTCGATCCGGGAGGGTGCTGGGCCGCGATCATAAGAGTGCGGGATTACAGTTTGAGTCCGGGTTTGTAGGTTGCGAAGGAGGGATTTATGGAGAGGGGTGCAGGCTCACGTGGCAGTAAGAAGCGAGGGAAGGAGAGAGAGCGGAGTAGAATAACGAAATAGGTGAAGGCAAGCAGCAAAAAATACAAACTGAAACTGGCGAAATGGTGAAAATATAGCCTCGCCGCCAAATCAAAAGGCCAAAGAGAATACTCACACCATTTTGTTTGCAGCAGAGGCGATATTGTGTGCTGCTATATTCGATACGTTATCACATAACGTAGAATATGAATAGAGTAGCGGTAATCTTTTAAACATCTTGAGTTACTCTCTATCATGTTTAGTATGAGGTGATAAGATGTAGTATACAAGGATAACCTTTATTGCTTGATCCTCTCCTTCCCCAATCGTAACCCATTCTGAACATCTCTCTGACCTCCGGGAATAGTCATTAGTTTAAGTCTTTACCATACCCAAAGATCACACTCCATATTCCACAATTCACATGCTTCCTCTCCACCAAGGCTGATCAGTCCGGCTCTTAGAAGCCTCCCTTCGAAAAATAATAAGTATCTTGTTCTTTCTCCGCACAAGGTACGGAAGAACTTACCACGTCCCCATCCCATCTATGTCAATCAATGGACAAGCGCTGGGATCGGCACCTTCCTCCTCATGTGCCAAATTCTCGGTTGCCGGCACCAGACTCGCCATCTTCGGATCCACATTATGCAGATCCATTTTCATCTTACAACCTTTAATTTGTCCAACACACTCATCCTTCTGGCAGATGTGTCCGTGGAAACAATCCGCTGCGCGACAGGCCCCCTTTCTTGGACATGGACTGCACTTTAGCACGTATTTCAGGCAGTGGTGCGCTTCCGGTTCAAGGTCGTTGTGGTCGTAAGGACAGTTGAAAGTAGTGCAGTCACCCTGAAGGTGGAATGCGTTACACGGTTTTTGACGATGGAATCGCTCGTTGTAGATAGCCCACTCAGACTGTGTGGGGGCTTTGATGTAGGTGTCAATGCGCTGGTTGTCTTTGTTCAGAGGGATGTAATTTGGTGGGATATTTGGAGGAAGAGAGGAGGAGATGTTAGAACGAGCGGCGCCATTCAGAGGAGGTTGCTTGCCGTTGGCGGTCTTAGATGAACCGCTAGGGCTGTGTTGGAATTTGCAGTTCTTACCGTAACGACAGAAACCCTGGCCAAGTTAACTAAATGAACAAAGAGATAGAGGAATGAGATGTCTAACCTTTTGAAAGTACTTGCAGGTAACTTGGCCTTGCTGTTTCGACGATTCTGCTGCAGTTCCCCAAGTGGATCCATTGCTCTCACCCCAGCCTTTACTTCCGGCTGAGGACGGTTCATCTGTACCAAAACCAGCGTCGGGGTTGTTCCAGGTGTCTGCACTATGGACGGGCTGAGATTTCATCTGCTCTCGCGGGGCCTTGGCTGACTTTGAGGGAGACACAATACGATCTGAGTGGGTACCATTAGACTTGATAGCTGAGCTGAGGGCCACTGAGGGAAGTTCTGACCAACGGAAAACGGTTGGGAACTGAGTGACGTTGAGGCTGAATTGGAGAAACTCTGAGCTGAATCCGGCGCTTTGGACTAATGTGATCTTATTCTTCATACCACTGTATGGGACCATGAGGGACAAATAGCTGGTATCGTGACATGCAGCGTATAGTATATGGTCGCAGTTGCTATCTTCGGCAGCAAGTTTGAACATTTCTGTGCGCAAGTAAGTGCCTGATGATACAACGTAGAGTAAGAAGTCAGTAGAGAATATTACCTTTAATCTTGAATCTAGTTCCTTCTTCATCAAGCGCATCCACGAAGTCGAATAGGCCCATGGTACGCGTGAACCCGGCGGCAAACGCAGCAAGCGAACGCTTCTCCAAACCAACAAGTTTAGACTTTGCTAGTAATTTGGAAAGTCCAGTGACGTCTGCGTATATGCGGACGACTATCCGGTTGTCGCAAGCTTCGAGAAGGGCTTTTCCTACTTGTTTTTCTACAACGCCGTTCAACATGCGAGCGGCTTTCATTCCACCCTCTTCTTTCTCGCTGACAAGTTCATCGTTGAACTGGATATCGTTAGCAAGGGCAATGTGGATAGAGTGGAAATTTGCTTTGGAACTTACGATGTAACCGTTTCCGTCGACAAGCACAAGAATATAGGGGTTACGTGGTTTCTCGGCTGGAATATTATTGCCATTGCCGATCTCCTTCTTATCAAAGGCCTTCTTCAGCTCCTTGTTCTGTTCCAGTACTTGGCTATATTCGACTAGAACTTTCTGTCATTCAAGTCAGCAGACGTAGTCCTTCCCCGAACAATTTCCGGAGAGGGCGAAGGAACGAACCTGAAGATCTGTTTGATTCACCTGGTTCTGTAGCTTGAACCGCTCTAGATGGGTATCTAAAGACATGATTTGTTTGTCGCCCAGCATGATGACAGATTAGGCGTCGACCGACGCGATGCTGGGCGTGAAAGGTGTTAAAAACTTCTGGAGAGTTAGTGGGTCTAGATAAGGAAAGGAAGAAAGTATTGTCGACTGACGACTTATTCGCGGAGGGCCGCCCGCAGGTGGATGCAATGTTTGACGGTCATTGATGGTGGGGAGAGAAATAGTGGTGTGCGTTGCGTGCAAACTGGGAAGGCATGCCTGACGCCTTGGTCCGTGCCACGATCACGTGCGATTCCTTTCTGGCTGTGGGGTTTGATCAATAAAGGCCACTTTCCGCAGATCTTACGCAAGTGACTTGTTGTAGAGGTCGCAAATCACTATTTAAGCAGTGCTTCTGTAATATTAAAACATTGAAAAGTTTGTTTTTGCACAACGAGGTGGGTCAGGCTCATGCTAAATTTGTCTCTACTTCGCGCTTGTCCAATGTATGCTAACACTATATAAAGATTTTAAGTGCTACCATCGAAAACGAGTCTGAGGAAGAGAGCTCCTAAGTTTCCTTCAAAAGCACGTGGTGACTCAATGTGGCATTGTGGAACCCTCGGCATGCATGGTTCGCATCGTCTTTCAAGAACAAAACTCTCCAGAGGGATCCAATCTACCACATCCGTATTTCAGCTCTACCAACGAGGTCCATGAATACTATTATACCTAATAATACAACGAAAGTCCTTTTTGAGAACTTTTCTCATATGCTACGAGAGTGCCCTAAGACCCATTTGTGGACCAGAGCAGTGACCTACTCTCTCCTGGGGTTTGCCCCAAGCCTGCTTCCTTCCTTCCTTCCTTAAGAATACATAAACCATCAGAGACGCTCGATGAGACATCATCGGACGTATAATCCACACATGCCACTCTTCACAGCTCTCCTGAAATGAATGGCATCCACTTCTCGACCAGCTTCAATCATCTCCTCAAGCCTTACCAGTCCCACTCACCAACTTCTTGTTCCTCTTCATCAGCACTGCTAGCTTCTTATCGAGCGCTTCATGGTCCTTCTTCGCCGCCAACATTGCTTGTTCCGCCTCATCAATACTCAGCACACTCCTCCTGCCCCTCCTGCTTGACGGCATTCCAGCCCCAAAGCCACCAAGCCCACCTCCCGTCTCAATAGCATTGACCAGGCCCTGAACATCCAGCCCGCTTCCCCCTAGGGTGATATTTCCTTGGCTGTCAACGCTGAGGTCCTGATTGCTATGAAAGCCAAGTCCCGCGCCGACTAGCGCTTCCAGGCCTTGGACTACAACACCGCCGAGGAGATCAGCGGCCATAACACCCATGCCTTCGAGCTCGCCGCCCAAGGCTCCACCTTCTGCCACAGCCTTCGCAGCTTTGGCGATTTTGTTGACATTCACAGACATGTTCCCAACACCGGCTCCGGGGGGGCCACCAACTGCAGCCATTTCGGTGCGCGGCGTGCTGGGTGGTGGATTATCTGTCTTGGGGAGGACGAATTGATTGAGGTAAGCAATGGCATCGGCAGGTGTCTGGGGCTGCGCTGGCGCTTGCGGTTGAGGTTGTTGTGCAAGAGTAATAGGCAGGGTTGGCAGATCTAGAGGCTTGTTTAATGACTTGGTGGCATCGAGCGACGGTACGCCAGCAGACGGGTCGCTGGGTGCTTGGGTCGGGGGTAAGGGTAGAGATGTCGATCCTAGCAACGTAGATGTTGGGTCTAATTTTGACATTGGTTGGCTCGACGACGATGAACAGGCGGCTGCAGTCTTGCTGAGCTTAGCACCGGCTTCTTTCAGCGCAGTAGCAATTGCAGGCAAGACATCCTTTGATTGCGCATGCGTAGTAACGGCGTGACCATGCGAATGTGTCGTTTGCTTGCGAGGATGGAAGCGTGCAGCACCCTTGTACTCTGCAATATGTCTCTCCAATTCCAAGGCCTTCTCTTCGAGCTCTTGGGTCAACCCCCAGAAGAATTTGCCTTCAGGGGTAATCAAGGTTCTTGAATCTGATCTACCGTCTTGGCCACCAAGACGGACTGGTTTCTTCTTTGCAAGGTTATCAAGATCTGTCTGGGAAAAATGAATCTTCAAATCCGGAGCAGCAGTTAAATTGCTGGATTGTGCAGTGCGTGCAGCGTGGGCTAGTGAAGACGACAGTGGCTTGAAGAACTCAAGAGTCGAAGCTAATAATTCACCAGTTCTCTGCAAATCTGCAATAATAGACTGTGCAGTCGGCTGGAGTTTCTCCCTTGAGTGTTCTGAAGCGCTTCCGACCTCAGGCGCAGGAGAAGATTGATTACGAGGAGAAGATACAGAGGCCTGTCTTGTATGACTCTTGGCCGGAGCAGGTGGCACTGCATTCGACTCCTCTTCATTATCCTCGACCTTCGCGGGTTTGGGAGAAGCTGGTTGACTTCTGACAGAAACAGGAGTCGGTTTAGGGATGCTTGCTCCAGGTTTCTTCGCTTTCTTCTTACGTCCTACAATAGGGGCATGGACTGGCTCTGGGTCCGACTTTCCATGGTCCTCGATAGCGAGTTGCTCCTCTGTTATTAGTCGTGCCCTTTCTTGTCGTTCCTTCTTAGCCTGTGACTTAGTCTTCTTCCTCACTGGTGCCGTGCCAACCTTACCACCAATAGGAGGGGGAGAGCTGGCACGAGATGCTGATGTTGAAGTGATGGAAGCATTGTCTGAAATCAATTCACTTGCCGGAGTACCTGGCTGGTTCAAGGATGCAATACTAGCCTGCCTAGACCGAAGCTTCTCTACGGTTGGTACATGCGGGAGAGATGTAGCTGACGTGGCAGACCAAGGGGGCGGTACTTCAGTTTTGGGGGTCGGTACCACTCGGAGTGTCCTTGGTGCTGTTGAGCGTTTGACCGGGGATCCAGTAGAAGTTGCTGCTGGGCTCGGAGGTACAGAACCAGTAGACGCGAGGGAAAAAGTACGAACATTCTTGGGCTGCGTCCCCGATTTTAGCGTGCTTGGAGCAGAGGACTGCTCGCTATCCGGCAATTTTGTGGCTGCAGCAATGTCCAATTTCCCTGGATGCTGTCGCTTTGAAGACGTCGCTAATGGTGGTGAAGCTGAGAAATTATTCTTGGCGTCCTTCTGTGGGCTCATCTCCAAGGATATAAATTCTAGAGCTTTAGAGCCTGTAGCCCTGCCCTTGGGTGTCACCATTTCGGATGATTTATTCTCGCCCCTCTCGGCACTAGCTACTTGGACTGGTCTCTGTGGAGAAGATGCCACCTCAACTCCTTTCTTCCTTTTGCCTTCAGAGATCGACTGCGTTCTTGCAGAGCTAGCTTTCCGACCTAATTTTGGCGGAGCTTCCAGTTTTGTATTTGGAGTGACCACTACGGGCTCTGCAAAGCTCGAGCTATGGAATTCGGATGCAACAGTGGGATGCTTGTCTTTCTTAGATTTCACAGGCGTAATTGCTCGAATGGGAGTTACGGGAATGACTGGAAGGGCAGGAGTCACGCTTGACGGAGCATTTTGAGACAGTGGTCGGGCTTGGTCCTGTGGTAGTTTAGGTGTGGCCGGTACGGAGAACCCAGGAGGAATGGTTGGTGTAGCACGTCGGGTCTGTTCGATGGCACGGCTGGCTAGGGGTGGGCCGTCTGGTTGAGTGTCAAAGTCGGCCTCGTTCACTAGTGCATCGACGTTAATGGACGCCTCTTCTTCAGGAGTGAAGTCTTGGTCATCTGTCCACCATGGCTATTAGCAAGGGTCCCTTAATCAGATAGTGTTGGAGGGTGCATGACGGATGGCCACGCCAAATGGCGGAGTAGTGCTACGGCGGCAGCCAGACGCCATACTGTGCCAATGAGGCAATTATTTACAACAAAGTGCATTGGGTAATATCTCTCGGGCATCTTCGTCACGAAAGCATTCAGAAAGACAAAATTGGGGAAAGCCATCTTTCTAATTAAATCGTAAGCATGCCGGCTGGGGGCGGCTGGAAGGGGATTTACGTACATACGATGGCCATGACGAAGACGACGAAAGAGGGCGGCGTAGAACCTGGCAAAAGCAAGGTATTTGAAGTTCCGTAAGCCATGCCAAAGACAAAGTGTATGTGATAGTGGCAACCCAGTTCATAAACGCCGGGCAGTCTCAGTAGCCAATTTGCTTGGACTGTGTGCCGATGCATTCGCTTTCGAAAGCCCCCGGAAACGCCATGCAGCCATCGTGAAAAACAGTAACAAGTGTAAAAACACAGTTTGCGACCTTATAGTCGAAGAAATTATGTGAAAGAAGAAGTCCAAAACTACCATCGTCCGGCGCCGCCGCCATAGTTGTTGTTGGCATAGAGGGAGGAGAACCCACCTTGACCTTGGTTACCGTACAGCCCCTGCCCGCCCATGGCCCCTCCTTGATGCAACCTCGCCTGTAAGATACTTGGGTCTTGAACATCTACTACGCCACCCCCTCCAGAGGAGGAAGTGTTAGCATGTCTGTGCTTCTTTCCCTTTTTCTTAGATTTCTGCGAACCAGATTCCTGGTAAGCACCTGGCGAAGGTCCATAAGGAAAGCTCAAAAGGCCAGGGGCAGGGGCTGGCGTAGAGGTCGTGGGATGCTGATTAAGAAAAGAAGGAAACATTGACTCACGCTTTCCATCAGCGACTCCTCGAGCACCGCCGTCCATCCGGTTCCTGAGTAAGTCCTGATACATTGCATCATTGTTACTCCTGCCAGCAGCATTAGCACCGTAGCCTAAGCCACTGGTGGCAAAGCCATGCCCTTGACCGAACATGCCACCACCACTGATCGGTGGAGTTCCGGCAGCCTTGAGACCTGGTGGTGGTCCTTGTACGCTGCTAGTGTAGAATTGACTACCCAATGGGTGGTGTTGAGAAATATTGAAGTGGTTGGCACCCTTCGGCATCATGGAGGATTGCTGATTCATGAGTTTTTGGTTCGCAACCGGCTGCACAGATGCCGAAGCAGATGCGCTGTCGTTTGCGAAACTGAAGCGCGATGTATGACGGCCGTGACTGGGGACATTCCCTGGCTGGCCATGGGACTGTTGCTGAGCTTGGTTCGTTTGGAAGTTCGAGAGGAGACCAGCCGATTGGGGCCCAGCCGATTTGAAGCTGTTGAGAAGCAGATGTTGTTGCTGCTGAGCGGTCAAGGTACGACCATTCAGTCCGAGATTGTTGAAGTCATCCCCAAGAGGCGGGTTCTGGTCGAACAAGCCACGTTGTCCGGGGGGTGCAATGGCATGTTGATTTGGATGGCCACTTTCATGCCTCTCCTCTGGCTCTCCACCAAGTTGTAAGCTGCCTCCGGCAGTTGCCTCAGCCGTGTCCTCCCGATCAGGTGCAGGAGGCGCTTGTGACGCGGATTGCGCTTCGGCCTCCCGCTGGAGTTCTAGCTCCTTCTCCTTCTCCTTTTCTTTCATGGCCCGTCGCTTTGCTCCTCCGTTGGGGTCGAGAAGTGAGGGGAAGTTGTAAATAGCTTCCAGATCCTCAGCGGAGAGAGCAGCAGCGGAAAATATGAATTTAAAGTCGGGATGAGATATTGCTTTAAGCAGTCCGTCAAAACCAGGAATGCAGGGTTTTGGAGCACGAGGGGTGGGTACAGGTTGCGGAGTTGAAGATTTCGAGGCTGGTGCAGACTTCTCCTTCTCTTTACCTTTCTTCTTCCCTGGTTCCTCGGACTTAACTAGTTTCGGTGGCTGGACAGGTACGGCATTCGAGGTCATCGGGCTGGGGTTCGACGTGGTGGTAGAGCGGCTTGCGCGGCGTTCCAGCGCGGCCTTGCTCCCCCAGTTAGCGGTCGCAGGAAGGCCAGGTGCATCGCAGCCACTGTTCGCTGGGCTTGACGGGGTATCAGTACTATCCTGGCGGACCATGGGTGCTGCAGCAGCTACAGGCGGTCCACGTTGTAGCGGTAGGGCATTAGACTGCGCGGGCTGTTGAGTCGAGATCGAGTTCATCAACGAGAGGTCTTGACGGGTGAAACTGTCATTTTCTTCGCCGGGCTCGTGCAGGAACATGCAGTTTCGATTGTTGCACTGCTCTCCCCTAAGGTACGCTGAACAATACTTAGTGGTACCGTATTGGGCTCTATAAGGCTGTTAGTTTGCTACTGGGGAAGGATGGATTATGACTGACCGAAGAGTCCTGTCTCCATTCTGAGACCCGTCCACAGCGGCAATACATGCGGCTGCATCCTCTTTGCGGGCAAACGTTACGTACACGCCCACTGACTGTTGATGCTGTGCATTCTCCTTCGCCTTGCTGACGACGATCTTGATGATCTTGCCGTATTGTCCGAAGTAGTCATTGCCGCGGAGCGTTTCTAGAAGGCGGTCTTCTCGTATCGTAGGTGTAAGCCCTGTCACGTAGACGAGGTTCTTTTGAACGACTCGAAGTCCTGCCAGATGTTTCCGGCTAAGCGTGTCGGCCTCCGCTTTCTGTGCTTCCTTTTGCCGCAACGCTGCGTTCTTCTTGGCTTTTTGCGCTATTTGCTGTTTGTGCTTGGCCATCCTATTCAATGTTAGATATGCCGGCGTCGTTGAGATAGGAAGCGACGAACTCTTCGGGGGTGATGTTCTTGAACTCAATCGTCGACTCATCGTAGGGGCGGCGACAAGCGGGACACAGGCCGTTCATCGTCGTCCTGATATTGTTGAAGCAGAACTGACATATCTGAATGCCCAGTGTTAGCGATGAGCGATGAGCTGGGCGTCACCGAGTTTTTTGAGGGAGCGCACCTGATAGCCGCAAGGACACGGGCGGAAGTTCTTGTCCGACAGATCGAACTCTTCGACACATAGCGGACAGCACTCTTCCTCGTCGTCGTCGACGAACTGGTCTTGCTGTATGCGGGACATGGTGGGCGGACTGTGAGATGCAGGACGCAGGTGCGTTGTCCAAGCGTGGTGGTGATGGGGTGGCGCTGGGTTGCGAGAAGGGGGGTGCAGATGAGAGGGCGACTTTTTTGTTCCGGTGCAAAGGGAATGATTAAGTGTAAAGAGGCCGCAAAGAAAGGGACTAACGCCGACCCGGTGAAAGGAGAGGGAAACAGATGATGCGCTCGATGAGGGTTAGATGGGCCTGGCCTGCAGACTTGGTGAAGAGAAGCTGAGGTGCCAAGGCGCTAAGCATCGGCGTCACGTGGATGCTCCTGGGTGGGAACTCAGGTGGTGGCGCCAGAGTCGCTTGGTCGAGGAAGCTGTGGAAAGGCACGACGACATCACCATTGACCCGCCCTCGCCCGCTGCACGACGCAGCTCTCCCGCCCCTCTCCATTCTCACAATGGCCCTCAGGCTGGCTGTAGGACGGCCATTGAGCCACGCTATCCGCGCTGCCGGCAGCCCCAGCTCCCTCGCTGTGCGCACCTTCGCAGCCGCCGCATTGCGGTCGAAGGATGTTGCTTCAGACAAGTCCGGCGTACCAAACTTGAGAGTATGCACCCAATTGCGCTTTCTCTTTGCACTGGCAGGTGCTGACGTGGTGAGCAGTATGCGCCTCGCGACCCCCCGGGCAAGCTCAAATCACCCATCGTAAACCCCACCGACCAGTATCACGAGAAGGCCGAGGGCCTCCATAAATACGGCCAATACCTAATGTCATGTCTGCCCAAATACGTCCAGCAGTACGCATCCCCCCATAGCTAATAGCGCCTTGACTTGACAATCCGTAGGTTCTCCGTCTGGAAGGATGAATTGACCATCTACATCCCTCCCGAGGGCGTCATCCCCGTCTTCACCTTCCTCAAATATCACACCGCCGCCGAGTACACACAGGTCACAGACATCACCGCCGTCGACTACCCGACCAAGGACCAGCGCTTCGAGGTCGTTTACAACATGCTCAGCGTCCGGCATAACTCTCGCATAAGAGTCAAGACGTATGCAGACGAGGCGACACCAGTCCCGAGTATCTGCGATCTCTATGATGGAGCGAATTGGTATGAACGAGAGGTTTACGACTTGTTCGGTGTCTTTTTCGTCGGACATCCGGATCTACGGCGCATCATGACCGACTACGGGTTCGATGGACACCCTCTCAGAAAGGACTTTCCAATGACTGGCTACACTGAGATTCGGTACGATGAAGAGAAAAAAAGGATTGTTGTGGAGCCGCTGGAGATGACTCAGGCATACAGGAACTTCCGCGGAGGTTCCAGTGTGTGGGAGCCGGTTGGCCCTGGAGATGATAGGAAACCAAGCCAGGTGCGTATGAGAACGAAGCAGTTCTGTAAGCTAAGTCTTGTCGCTATACTCATGGCTGACAAAATCTCCAGTTTAAGTTGCCTACACCAAAACCCGAACCGCCAAAAGAGGACGAGCAGAAGAAATAGAACGCCGAGAGCATGTACAGTCTGTAAATATCCACCAAATCCAACACACGTATTCCAATATCAATATCGAAATTTCCCGTTAAGGTTTCTATTGCGAACCTTCGATCTTCCCCGCTAGATGACCTCCAATGACTCAAGCCCCACCATTTTTGCTTTAGGCTGTACCTGTGCTTTTGATTCTTTGTACAACACTACCTAACTTCGAAAAATATTGCCCCAGGCCACACTTGCATCAATCTGCATTACAAATCCAGGAACCAGTTCTCGCCAAGCGCAAACCCCGCATCCCTCGACTTTCCCAAGCAGCTGGGCAATTGCACTTATCCCGGGCTGCTGCCCGCAAAGCCGTGAGTCATGAGATATAACAGTCACAATCCCTCGTGGGCTTGCCTGCAACAGGTTGGTGTATCCGAGGATCTCCCTTGCGTTGCCCTATTCGTATCATTTCGTTCGCAAGCACGCTATAAATGCTCGAGTGTTCCACCCATGTTGTTCACTACTTCAGCATCCTCCCTTCACACCACCCCTTCTCTCCCAACCATCCTCACACTCTCAATATCAATCCTCCTCCTCTCCCTACCAGCTCTGCCCACAATGACTATGGTCACCAAAACAATAACAACCCCGCCATTCAACCTCTCCTCCCCCCCTGGAACAGACATCTGGCGCAAGCCCCCCTCGCACAACGTCCTCAGCGCCCCGACCCACCCCTCCCCTCTCCCAACCTACCCTCTCCACCTCTTCCAAAGCGCCCGCCTAACCTTCATGCTACCCCCTCCATCCCAGCTCCGCCAATACGATCAAGCCGGTCTGCTCCTGCACTTCACCAAACCAGGTCTCGCAGACGGAAAAGACAAATGGATTAAGACTGGCATTGAGTTCTACTACGGGAAACCGTACTTGAGTACTGTAGGCTGCGACCAATGGGCTGATTGGAGCATTGTACCCGTAGAATTGAACGGTGAGGGTAGGCCTAGTGCTACGGTTGAGGCAAGAAGGGAGAAGGATCAGCTTGGGAAGAGTTTGTGGGTTTACCATGTTGTCAAGGATGAGGCGGGGAAAGAGCAGTTTGGGCCGGTCCGAGAAGTAAACTGGGTATTTGCGTTGGATGAGGAGGAGGGGTGGGAGGTCGGTGTGGGGGGCATGGTAGCGAGGCCGACGATGGAGGGTGGGAATGGGACGTTGGTGGCGGAATTTGGGGGCGTGGAGGTGAGTGTTTTGGAGGGG